TAGATTATCCCTGATCATATGAAGAACGATGTTGTTATTTTAGTTATTGTTTCCTGTGTGGTTGCAATCCTCTTGGTGGCAGGCTACTTGTCGTATACTATGACAAAGGAGCTGATGAGCTACTACAGCTACCCTGTGATCACCAGCACCTATTTTTTTTATAGTTGGATGTGCACGAGGAACTACCTTTTCCAGCTGTCACATTCTGCAACCTGAGTCCCTACAAGTGTTCAAGCAGTTGATCCTTATCTGGATGAGGATTTCACCAGAACCAGCCTTTTGGGACAGCATGTAATAATTGAGTGATGCTGGTCAACGTTTCGAGAGAGCCACGATCATGACTGGTGGAAAAATATTTACATGGCTCCAAGACAGATGTTTTTCCTACGTTGGATGAATGGTATTGAATATCACCCCTGCGCCGCTGTAATGAAACATGTTTTGACTCGTATGGGTCAAGGTGACACCTTAAACTGGAATGCTTCTGATGTTGCTATTGTTCGACTTACTGGATCAGATAACGTTCTCGTCATGCATGCCGGTATTGATCAAGCTAACTATGTTCTTGGGTATATTCCGTTAAATATCTATCATCAGAGGTTCAGTACACCCTGTTGAAAATAAAGTGAATGTCATCTGAAGTTTAATGAGTAAGCAATATGTGAAATAATGATTACTATTAGTTGAAAATAGTATACATAAAGGATCAAAATTGCCTGAATCTTACTTAGTGTGCTCGTGTGTATGTAGGGGTTGGTAGTTTAATTGGTGTTTCAAACGTTCGCTCGTCACGCCCTTTCGATTGGGTTCGATTGTCCAAAGGGTCAAATGGGTGAAATCCCCTTTCTAGTATTGCTAGATATTGCCAGAATATTGTTAAATGCTGCCTACAACCTCCCTCCCTCCTTCATTCATTCATTCACACCCACTCACTAAATCACCCACTTCATATATTCCAACAACTTTCCCAATCCATTTGAAATGAATTAATAATACATAGGTTAATATGTCATAAATAATGTTTGTTATGCAGGTAGGAGGTTTTAAACAAGTCCTATTATTTTCATATTGTTTTCCATACACATATTCATTTGATTTGAGCCAGAATCCACTATACATTGAGTGAAAATCGTGTGCCGCTTTGCTTTGTGTGAAGATCGTGTTCCATTTTGCTTTCGAGTGAAGATCATGTGCCGCTTTGCTTTGTGTGAAGATCGTGTGCCGCTTTGCTTTGTGTGAAGATCGTGTTCCATTTTGCTTTCGAGTGAAGATCATGTGCCTCTGTGCGTTGTGATCCCATACTGCTACGCATATGTGTAGATCACCACTGCATGTTTTACATGAATATCACCACAACATCTAATTCTAATGGCAATTCTGCTTTTCTGTTTGAGGAAAAGTTGATTGACATTATTTTGTCAGTGTTCATTTGCTTCCATGGATCCAACAGCGACAGCATGATTAATATAGAACTGCAGCAGTATTGGCCCTCTATTTCAAATTTATTGCTCACACCCTAATTCCTTATCCAGTTTGCTAAACATTAAGGCAGTATTTATAGTATATTCGGTGAAATATCTATCATTAAAGGTTCAGTACACACTGTTCAAAATATACTAGGCACATAAAGAAACTGTGCATACAAAAATTTAAAATCTAAATTTATCAAACCTGTGTAGACACATAAGGATTTAAACTCAGAGATTAGTGACATGTATCCAACATGCATGCACGTGCCACGTTCCGTGACGTCAGTGGGTTCATCCTTGAGGCGTGCAATACGTTGTTGCACGTGCATTCAGGAAAGAGAAACAGAGCAAATGAATGCCACACAATACTGTCACTTTGGAAGCTCAACCCCTGCCCTTGCGATCGTTCAAAAAATTAAGCGGCTATTGAAGCGCATAGCATGCCAAGGCTCACGTCTGCACAACGTCATGAGGCCATTGGGATGGTCCGTGGGGAATGTCTCAGCGACAAGTGGCTGCACATTTCCACTGCCACGGAACACCATTTCTGCACTGGTGAGGCGCTACCAGAACACAAATGGCGTCATCGATCGTACGTTCTGGGCGTCCACGTGTAACAACGCCAAGACAGGACAGATGGATAAGGGTGACCCATCTTCGCCACAGGTTTCAGACTGCAGTGATGACTGCCCGAACCATCCCAGGACTTCGCCGTATCCACCCCAACACAGTTCGACAAGCGTTTACGTCATCACGGGATCAGACCACGGCGTCCCGCCATACGGCCTATCCTGACACAGCGTCATCGACAAGCTCGCCGAATGTGGTGCCGAAATCATGTCCGCAGACCCTTGTTTTGGTGGAGAAATGTTGTTTTACAGATGAGTCAGGTTTAACATTTCCCATAGTGATGGACGTCAAGCGTGCCTATAGGCGCGTGGGAGAGCGTTATGCACAGGCCTGTGTCTTGGAGAGGAATCGCTTTGGTGGTGGTTCCGTGATGATTTGGGGTGGAATAACAGCACGCCAAAGAACTCCTTTGGTGATTGTTCAGGGCAACTTAACTGGTGTGGGCTACAGGGATCAGATTCTTCGACCTGTGGCAATTCCTTTTCTGCAACGTCATGGCCCTGGGTTAACATTCCAACAGGACAATGCCGCCCTCATACGGCAAGGGTTGCTATGGATTTCTTGCAACACCACAAGCGTTGACTTACTGCCTTGGCCTGCAAATTCACGGATCTCTCCCGATAGAGCATGTTTGGGGCCGAGATGGATCGGCGTCTACGCCGTCTTCCTCATCCGCCAGATAGCGTCCTTGACCTTGCAACAGAACTTGAGAGAATCTGGCGTGACATCCCACAAGCCTTCCTTGCACGTTTGATAGGCTCTATGCGTCGTCGATGCACTGCTGTTCTCAATGCCGATGGTGGACATACCCGTTATTGAGCTTGTGACATGGTCGTTTGACCCCTGTCCCGCTTGTGGACTCGTGGCGTCATTGTGATTGACTTTTCAATTGAAATTCTCCCGACTTGTTATGGTCTCATGATCCCTCCATTAAAGTTTATATGTACCTTTGACATTGTTATCGTACTTATCAACTGGGATAATATTTTGACAATGCACAGTTTCTTTATGTGGCTAGTATAGACGAGCCAGCGCTTTAACCCTAGGCTACCCCACCGCCCCCAGTTGGTTTGGAGATATGCGTTGGGTGAGGAGAGAGTCAGAGGAGGATCTGAGACTTACAACTCATATCTGGCGAGATTCTCATGTGTGACTCAGTACCATGGATTCGTTGAGTGAAGAAGAAATACTAGCATTAATGTCAGTTTATATATCGTTTCTTCTCTGGTAAGGCCAGACCAATTTTATTTCTTGTTTTACGGATTTTTGTCCCCAGAAAACCTAAAGGCAGGAGGAAAAAAAATCACCAATCAAAGTAATATTCCTTCTAAATACTAAAAGTATTTTAATTTTGGCAATTTATGAAGTGCATATGGGGCAAAAATCAATCTTAAAAAATTCTTGTAAGTTTACATTTTTGGCCAATAAAAACATTACCATTTTATATTTTGAGCGGGGAAAATTAATTATTTATTTTTTTCATTTTCTTGAAAAAATACGACGGGCAGATCCGTAAAACAAGAAATAAAACTGATCTGACCTAAGGTTGATTTTTTTTCAGTTGTTTCTCCGACATGATGTCAACATGAACAAGTGTTTGCCACTGATATGGCAATGTCCCCCGCCGCTAAAGAATGGAATATCTATATTTACTACTTTTTATTTTGGGGTCACATACAAGATGCCTCAAATGACTGGTGTCTGCATAATCACAGAAAGTAGGCTGTCAACATACTTGAAACATTGGGTGCAATGTTTTATGATATATCGCCTTTAAAAAGCGGTCAAAGTATCGTGGTGACCTTGAAGATAAGGTCAAGGTCACCCAAATAAACTGGTGTCTGTGTAATACCCCAATGTAAACTGTCACCAAACTTGAAGACATTGGGTACAACAGTCCATGAGATATCGCATTAACAAGAGTTAAAAGTGTGAAAAGTGTTGTGGTGACCTTGAAGATAAGGTCAAGGTCACCCAAATCAACTCTGGTCTGCGTAATCCCCCAATGTATGCTGTCACCAACAGTCCATGAGATGCCGTGTTAAGAAGAGTTTGAAAAGTGTTCAAAGTGTCGTGGTGACCTTGAAAATAAGGTCAAGGTCACCTAAATGAACTGGTGTCTGCGTAATCCCCCAATGTAGGCTGTCACCAAATTTGAAGACATTGGGTACAACATTTCATGAGATATCACGTTAACAAGAGTTTGAAAAGTGGTCAAAGTGTCGTGGTGACCTTGAAAATAAGGTCAAGGTCACCCAAATCGACTGGTGTCTGCATAATCTCCCAATGTAGACTGTCACCAAATTTGAAGACATTGGGTACAACATTTCATGAGATATCACGTTAAAGAAAGTTTGAAAAGTGGTCAAAGCGTCGTGCTGACCTTGAAAATAAGGTCAAGGTCACCCAAATTGACTGGTGTCTGCGTAATCTCCCAATGTAGGCTGTCACCAAATTTGAAGACATTGGGTACATAATTTCATGAGATATCGCGTTAAAAGAATCGGGACGTACGTAACGGACGCCGCTGAATACATAGTCCCCCGGTGGGGGACAATAAAAGTTAGGTCTCTCTGAGATGGACAAAGATCTACCTGATTTGATTGGTCGAGAACTTGCGACTCGTAGCAATTAGGACAAATCCCACGTCTTACAACTCGGCTGCGACTAGTTGTATACGATCTTAAATCGTTACGATTTGGGTGTTCTCACTTTGCAACTGTGTTGGTTTCTGCATGGTTTCCTAAACCGAAGCAGAAGGCACTGCCATCACCACTGCCAGCTAAAGTTTATGTGCTCCTTGACATATATGATCAAGCCTCTGCTGGCTCTACCGGGATGATCTGTGTGTTTTACCATTCTGGCAGCCTTCATGTCAGTGTTTCAAAGGCTTAAGCATGGTCTTGGTTATGATTTTATTACAGAAAATGTAGATTGAACACATGCAGTCATTTAAGCAGATTCAAACAGCTCCATTTTATACTTTCAGATGTACTTTTTGGTATATTGTATCACAAATCATAGGCAACAAAGACATAATATAGAGGAAGAAGTGGTATAGAAAGTGTGTAGATTATTATGTAAAATATTGCTACTGTCTCTGTAACTCACCTGAATTTTCCTGAATAATAATCAGATAAGACAAGTTATACAAGGTTAAAGAGTGATAAAGAACAAAACACTTCTAAACAACAAACATACTCACTGGCGCCCGTAACTGGCTATGCAGAGAGTCAATAATGCATATTCATCACCAGTCAATATGACTGTCGGTCAACACATGACAAAGTATTCTCATATAACAAAATTACTCTGCATAACTCTAATTCAGAATTGGATAAACTATGGTCAAAATTGATTTTTTATGATAGTCATGGGATCACAATAATTTTTCATAAGACCAAAGGTTTCTGAGGAAATGTCAAAGCAGTCACAATAGACAGATTAGGGTATGTCAATGCAGTCACAATAGACAGATGAGGGTATGTCAAAGCAGTCACAATAGACAGATGAGGGTATGTCAAAGCAGTCACAATAGACAGATGAGGGTATGTCAATACAGTCACAATAGACAGATTAGGGTATGTCAATGCAGTCACAATAGACAGATGAGGGTATGTCAATGCAGTCACAATAGACAGATGAGGGCATGTCAATGCAGTCACAATAGACAGATGAGGGTATGTCAAAGCAGTCACAATAGACAGATGAGGGTATGTCAAAGCAGTCACAATAGACAGATGAGGGTATGTCAAAGCAGTCACAATAGACAGATGAGGGTATGTCAATGCAGTAGATGAATGTTAATTTGAAAAGCAAACAAAATGATACTTGCAAAAATGCCTCCATAATAGGGTAAAACGTATTACCTTCTATCATTCTGACTATTACTAAAAATACAAGGCCAATGAAGCTGTAACTTTGCATGAATAATCCCAGGTATCATTTGCACAAAGCTATAGCTTTATGATCATCGTCATATCATATAAGCCAGGTAGTTTTAGTCGTAACTGACAATGTAAAAGGGTCACTACTGGGTGGAAGCACAATGGAGGATGGACAAGATGCCACAGCATACACTCACTTGACTTTCAGTCAGGTGATCTAGACAGATAAACATGTGTGCTCATTTTCATCTAACATACAGTTCAGTGGTACACCTGTATGTCTTGCACAAGACTCAGCACAAACAAATGTCTCAAATGATGATCAGAGCAAACACATATACATGTATATCACATGATGCTCAGCGCAAACATGTCTCAAATGATGATCAGAGCAAACAAATGTGTCTCAAATGATGATCACGGCAAACACAAATGTCTCAAATGATGATCAGAGCAAATATTTGTCTGACATAATAATGATGTTCAGAGCAAACGTATGTATGACATGATGTTCAGCACAAACACGTTTCACATGATGCTCCTTGCAAACAATAATGTTTCACATACAGCTCAGGGTTCAATTTTATGTCTTTCATAATGTGCAGAACAATCATTTCTGTCTCACATACAGCTCAGAGTTCAATATTGTCTTACATGATGTGCAGTGCAAACATTTATGTCTCACATAGGGCTGAGTGCACACTATTTCTTGAGATGTTTTCACATACACATCTCAGAACATGATCAGTGCTTCCATTTTGTCTCGCATGAACTTCCATGAGTCCTGCTTGACCACCGTTGTGTGACACTGTGTCTAGGTAACATGTTTGGTAAAATACATCCACAGATGGTCACATTTTCTGTGTAATCAAGTTATAATCTTGGTTAGATACACAATAAAGCTATGTCTCTATAGTTGACCTTGTAGTGACCAAGCTGCCTACTTAACAAATGGCTGATATCTTACAAATATCTTGTGGAATATTGCAGGTAAAATGCTGAGATGAACAAATGCAGCATTACAGCTGCCAACTAATGGTGTGTTGCCATCAGATGCCATCTGTCTCATAACGACGTGGACTCAGAATGGGGAAACAGGTCACTGTAGTCTGGAGGCTCCACTGTCTGTCCACATTCATATATCAACTTCTCCCCACCTGAGATTGTTATTGCATTGTCCTGTAATCAATGGAAAAGGCATAATTAACTTTGTGAAAAATAATGTATTATTTATTATCACATTTGTGATTGTTGTTTAATGCCATGGTCACACCCAGGTAACTAAATATCACAGCCAACTAACAGTGGCCCCTAATATCCCAGCTAAATACCCAGAGGCACCTAATATCCCAGCTAAATAACAGAGGCACCTAATATCCCAGATAAATAACAGAGGCACCTAATATCCCAGCCAACTAACAGCGGCCCCTAATATCAGAGCCAACTAACAGTGGCCCCTAATATCCCAGATAAATAACCAGAGGCACCTAATATCTCAGCTAAATAACAGAGGCACCTAATATCCCAGCTAAATAACCAGAGGCACCTAATATACCAGCTAAATAACAGAGGCACCTAATATCACAGCCAACTAACAGAGGCACCTAATATCCCAGATAAATAACCAGAGGCACCTAATATCCCAGCTAAATAACACAGGCACCTAATATCACAGCCAACTAACAGCGGCCCCTAATATCACAGCTAAATAACAGAGGCACCTAATACCACAGCTAAATAACAGAGGCACCCAATATCCCAGATAAATAACACAGGCACCTAATATCCCAGCTAAATAACAGAGGCACCTAATATCCCAGCAAAATAACAGAGGCACCTAATATCTCAGCTAAATAACAGAGGCACCTAATACCACAGCTAAATAACAGAGGCACCTAATATCCCAGCTAAATAACAGAGGCACCTAATATCCCAGCTAAATAACAGAGGTACCTAATATCACAGCTAAATAACAGAGGCCCCTAATATCACAGCAAAATAACAGAGGCACCTAATACCACAGCTAAATAACAGAGGCACCTAATATCTTACCTAAATAACAGAGGCACCTAATATCCCAGCTAAATAACAGTGGTACCTAATATCCCAGCTAAATAACAGAGGCCCCTAATATCACAGCTAAATAACCAGAGGCACCTAATATCCCAGATAAATAACAGAGGCACCTAATATCACAGCCAACTAACAGCGGCCCCTAATATCCCAGCTAAATAACAGAGGCACCTAATATCCCAGCTAAATAACAGAGGCACCTAATATCCCAGCAAAATAACAGAGGCACCTAATATCTCAGCTAAATAACAGAGGCACCTAATACCACAGCTAAATAACAGAGGTACCTAATATCCCAGCTAAATAACAGTGGTACCTTATATCCCAGCTAAATAACAGAGGCCCCTAATATCACAGCAAAATAACAGAGGCACCTAATATCACTTAGGAGGTGTGGTGAAAGGGGTTTAATGTCATACTTGAGAATATTTCGCTCATATGACGACGTGCATGCGTGTGTGTGTGTGTGGCTGCTTGTACTAGCCCAGGCTTAAGCTGGTTTTATAGTGCTAGCTCACTGAGATACCATGCCGCATTTAAGCATGAATACCCCACTCAGACACATTATACTCCGAGCCGACCAGTCCTTGTTGTACCCATTAATGCCGAGTGCCAGGCAGGGACCAAGAACCATGTTTTATTGTCTTTCTCCGGGAAGATGCTCTAACCACTACATCACGGAAGTGGTCATATACTGTATCACTTAAGAGAAAAAGTGCTGTGTTTGAAAATTAGAGTAATGTTAGAGCAAATTGATATGCTCTAAATTTCATTTGAAACCGAAAGTGTAGCAGTGTTCAGATTTGACAGTCAGTCCAGTATCTTCCTCCACTGTCGCTTTCAGTTTCATTTGTGCAAAATGTAAAAATTAACTAGTTCAAATTGCCAATCGCGCCATGCCGGATTATGCAGTGTCTTCTGCGGAACAAAATAAGCACAATTTCGAAGCAGTTATGGTAGAATGGAGATAAACTTACTGTATTTGAAAATTAGAGTAATGTTAGGCCGAGTTGATAGTCTCCAAATTTCATTTGAAACCTTAGGCGTAGGTGAATTGAACAATCAAAAACGACAGAAACGACCAGTCTACTGTCGTGGTACTTTACCCTCCTACCATCACAATAATGGAATGGTCTGACCTACTTATTTTCTTGGAAGTAGTTGTTTACAGTTAAGCAACAGTAGTCAGTTTTTACATTTTGCACAAGGTTGAAATTTGAAGTGACAGTGAGGATACTGGACCGACTGTCAAATCTGAACCCAGGAGAATTGAAGAATAGTACTTTTCCTGATCAACAAACAAGTCAGTGATGTAACTCATAAAAGACTATTGATTCTTATGACCAGTGAGTTTCATGATTTCACGTGCCTGAGACGAAAGCGTGACAGTGGTGAGTGACAGTGGTGGCTCTAACGCAATGATTTGTGTAAATGCGACTTCTAATTCCCTGGAATTTATTTTTCATAATTTTACTAACATTTTGCAGTTAATTTTGTATAAAAGGGATGCATTTTTTGCGGCAGTGTTGTATACGTGCACAGTGAAGTAGTGCGGCAGTGTTGTATACGTGCACAGTGAAGTAGTGAGACAGTGTTGTATACGTGCACAGTGAAGTAGTGCGGCAGCATTGTATACGTGCACAGTGAAGTAGTGCGGCAGTGTTGTATACGTGCACAGTGAAGTAGTGCGGCAGCATTGTAAACGTGCACAGTGAAGTAGTGCGGCAGTGTTGTATACGTGCACAGTGAAGTAGTGCGACAGTGTTGTATACGTGCACAGTGAAGTAGTGCGGCAGCATTGTATACATGCACAGTGAAGTAGTGCGGCAGTGTTGTATATGTGCACAGTGAAGTAGTGCGGCAGTGTTGTATACGTGCACAGTGAAGTAGTGCGGCAGTGTTGTATACGTGCACAGTGAATTAGTGCGGCAATGTTGTATACGTGCACAGTGAAGTAGTGCGGGAGCGTTGTATACGTGCACAGTGAAGTAGTGCGGCAGAGTTGTATACGTGCACAGTGAAGTAGTGCGGCAGCGTTGTATACGTGCACAGTGAAGTAGTGCGGCAGTGTTGTATACGTGCACAGTGAAGTAGTGCGGCAGTGTTGTATACGTGCACAGTGAAGTAGTGCGGCAGAGTTGTATACGTGCACAGTGAAGTAGTGCGGCAGTGTTGTATACGTGCACAGTGAAGTAGTGCGGCAGTGTTGTATACGTGCACAGTGAAGTGAAGCGGCAGTGTGTTGTATACGTGCACAGTGAAGTAGTGCGGGAGCGTTGTATACGTGCACAGGGAAGTAGTGCGGCAGTGTTGTATACGTGCACAGTGAAGTAGTGCAGCAATGTTGTATACGTGCACAGTGAAGCAGTCATAAACTCAGACACATTTTCACATTTACACTTAATTGATTGTCCAATCAAATTTGAGTGTTTCACTTTGTTATGGTAGAATGCTAAATAACAGTGGCCCCTAATATTACTGCTAAAAAACAAAGGCACCATCTGTATAACAAGTGCCTGTAGTCAGCAGTATCACAGCTGTATAACAACTGCCTGTAGTCAGCAGTATCACAGCTGTATAACAACTGACTGTAGTCAACAGTATCACAGCTGTATAACAACTGACTGTAGTCAACAGTATCACAGCTGTATAACAAGTGCCTGTAGTCAACAGTATCACAGCTGTATAACAAGTGCCTGTAGTCAGCAGTATCACAGCTGTATAACAAGTGCCTGTAGTCAACAGTATCACAGCTGTATAACAACTGCCTGTAGTCAACACTATCACAGCTGTATAACAAGTGCCTGTAGTCAACAGTATCACAGCTGTATAACAACTGACTGTAGTCAACAGTATCACAGCTGTATAACAACTGACTGTAGTCAACAGTATCACAGCTGTATAACAACTGACTGTAGTCAACAGTATCACAGCTGTATAACAACTGACTGTAGTCAACAGTATCACAGCTGTATAACAACTGACTGTAGTCAACAGTATCACAGCTGTATAACAACTGACTGTAGTCAACAGTATCACAGCTGTATAACAACTGACTGTAGTCAACAGTATCACAGCTGTATAACAACTGACTGTAGTCAACAGTATCACAGCTGTATAACAAGTGCCTGTAGTCAACAGTATCACAGCTGTATAACAACTGACTGTAGTCAACAGTATCACAGCTGTATAACAACTGACTGTAGTCAGCAGTATCACAGTTGTATAACAAGTGCCTGTAGTCAACAGTATCACAGTTGTATAACAACTGACTGTAGTCAGCAGTATCACAGCTGTATAACAAGTGCCTGTTGTCAGCAGTATCACAGCTGTATAACAACTGACTGTAGTCAACAGTATCACAGCTGTATGACAAGTGCCTGTAGTCAGCAGTATCAGAGCTGTATAACAACTGACTGTAGTCAGGAGTTTCAAAGCTGTATAACAAGTGCCTGTAGTCAGCAGTATCACAGCTGTATAACAAGTGCCTGTAGTCAGCAGTATCACAGCTGTATAACAAGTGCCTGTAGTCAGCAGTATCACAGCTGTATAACAAGTGCCTGTAGTCAGCAGTATCACAGCTGTATGACAAGTGCCTGTAGTCAGCAGTATCACAGCTGTATAACAACCGCCTGTAGTCAGCAGTATCACAGTTGTATAACAACCGCCTGTAGTCAACAGTATCACAGTTGTATAACAACTGACTGTAGTCAGCAGTATCACAGCTGTATAACAACTGACTGTAGTCAGCAGTATCACAGCTGTATAACAACCGCCTGTAGTCAACAGTATCACAGCTGTATAACAAGTGCCTGTAGTCAGCAGTATCAGTTGTATAACAAGTGCCTGTAGTCAGCAGTATCACAGCTGTATAACAAGTGCCTGTAGTCAGCAGTATCACAGCTGTATAACAACTGACTGTAGTCAACAGTATCACAGCTGTATAACAAGTGCCTGTAGTCAACAGTATCACAGCTGTATAACAAGTGCCTGTAGTCAGCAGTATCACAGCTGTATAACAAGTGCCTGTAGTCAGCAGTATCACAGCTGTATAACAACTGACTGTAGTCAACAGTATCACAGCTGTATAACAAGTGCCTGTAGTC